TCCTAATTATCCCAATTCTTTCAAATTTAAATTTATAAAGTTCACTTTAACATCACATAAAAATACCACTTTTATTAACTTATTAAAGGTGAAATACAAATTTTGTGGCATTTGTGACATCAAAGTGTTAGCAGCGTAATTATCAACTTTAAGTGTTGGATATATAAATACAAAATAATTAGTGGTATGTATGTAAAATTCTCATTATTATATGATCATGGGTTTCTTTCACCAATAGATTTAACTTATTTTAATTAGTCAATTTCATAGGTGGATCAAACATAGATAATGCGTAGGATCAAGAACAATAGGTTATGAAAGTTTTGTCCTATGGATAAAAAGTCAGTGAATGATTTTCACCTGCTGAATATGCACAATTTGAGAGTGTTTGAGTCTGCTTATCTCAAGTTTTGCTTTGGTATGGTATCTGATCATCTTCTGGTCTCGTGTCTCAAACAGTTCATTGATTTGGTTGACCACTAATTGAGAGTTGGATCTGAATGAAGATGGGTGACTCCAATCCTTAGTGATAATGTAAGGCCTGCAATGAGGGCCTCATACTTTGCTTGGTTATTGGTAGCATCGAAGTTGATTGAAATGGAATGGCTTAGAATATATCCCGTGGGCGTCGTAGAACCATGCCCACTCCTTCTCGTGAGGTTCCTAAAGCTCCTTCTACATAAGAAGTCCAGATTCTATCTTAGTCCACGTCTATTCTTTATTTTCTCAATTCTTTAAAAATATCAACTAGAGAATCAGGGACAACTTGGGTTTGATGGTTGTTCTAAGCGTATACAAGATGTCTAACTCACTAGAGCTCCATTGTCCATTTTAATAATCTTCCCGAGTGATATGACTTGGAAAACATAGATTTCAATGGATTGTCGGTAACTACATGGATGGTGTGGGATTGAAAATATGGTCGCAGTTTCTTTACAAGACAATAAATGTTAGTGCCAGCTTTTTCACGATAATGTATCTTTGTCTGGCTCATTGTACTATTTTGCTAACATACAAGAGAAAAATAAAATATATTGAAACGAGAAGAAAATAGACCAATAAAGACATACATAAAATAAAATGAACAGGAAAGAAGAAAAATAACGAGCTCAGCAAAAACCCAAAATCACTTAGAGCTGCTTCATCCAACATTATCCATAAGTAGTACAGTGCATAGGAAGTCCAAATCCAACAGAGAAATCATCCAAGTGACCAAAAAAAGCTAAAATTGAAGTTTATCAATCCACAAGCAAATTCCAACTCCATCAAGTATCATTTAGGAATAAAAATGATTAAAAATGGACCTCAAAGGAACCAAAAACATTGAATAATTGGTTGAGCTATTTTCTTTTGTTGGCTATCATCACAGCTCCAATGAAACTGAAGCTATTCGTATTTAGCAGAAACTTTGCAAACATATATAATTAAGATCAGAATTGTAATGTCTGCGAATATCAATACAAGTACATAGAATTAAAAACTACCAACAATGCTCAATCCTAGCAGGAAACAAAAGCAGATCCCTCAAACCAAATTGAATAGCCCATATCTTTCATCCACAAGTCTCCATCAATGAAAGATTCAAACAAATGATAGAAGCAAAAAAAGAAAAAAAAAGGCACATCCCTCAATAACCGAATTGAAAAGACCAAAATTCATTCTTTAGAGAAGTAATTTCTCTTGATAGCATAAGGTAGATCCTTTATTAAATCGCCTACAATTACTTTTTAAGTCTAGTAGCAAAAATATTTCTCGTACTAATGAAATCCTCAGTAGATGAAACAATAGCAAACATTCTCAAGTTCCTCTATCGCCAAATCTAATGAGCAATAATGTCAATAGAGAGAAGGAAAAAATATCAAAAGATTTTATAGCTCATGGACTGAGAAAAACTAAATAATTGCATAAGAATCCATTCTACAATTTCTTTGCTAGCATATGTTTATCACTTTTATTATAAAATTCAAACAAATAAATATTCAAAACATGTTGTCAATCTCTCAAACTCAAATGTGAAAGTTAAATGTATTGCCGACATCTTTATTTATTCCCTCGCAAAAAAAAAAAAATTACTGTATCATTCAATCAGATAATGAGGGCCTACATCTTTCGATGTATTTGAAATCCACTCAAAATTTGACAAATTTAGAGTATAATTTTAAAATAGTGAGTGAACTTTAAATTTATCAAAATATTACATGCCTATGCAGGTGTAGACTACACTGAAGTCAATTTTGAAATACTAACTTAAGAAATTTGACTTAGATGACTTTTACAAGAACTCACCGCCTCATCCATCCCCTCGACCATTATCTACAATGACAATAATTTCTTGATTGCCCTTGCTCAAAATTTTATTTTTCACGCTCGCACCAAACATATTGAAGTGGATTAACAATTTATTCGTGATCACCTCAAATTCTCTCCCACATATAATGCCTGAAGATCAACAAGCTCATGTTTCCACCAAATCTATCCCAACTGTTCATCACATAAAGCTCACAACCAAACTGACAATTTAACGTGTTGATTTTCACTTTGAAAGTGGTTAAAATGGATCATACCCGCTCTCCTCCTCTTTGGCTCTTTCAGATGCCTCAACTTCCCGCTCCTGGAATAGAAAATCATATTATGTTTTGTGTCCTAGGGCTTAGGCCTTTTGTATTCACTAGTTATCTCCTGTTGCATTTTTATCAATATACCCCTGCCCTAATATTATAAATAAGGGAGGATGTAATTGTTGAGAAATTAGGGCGAAGAAAAATAGAAACCGACAAAAATCTAGAATAACACACACAGATTTACGAGGCCCGGCAAAGATGCCTGCATCCTCAGGAGCAGAGCGACGACTTCTTTTCAATATTGAGAGAAGAAGTACATAATACAAAATTCAAAATCTCCCTCATCTAGGGTTACAAACATGACATATATATAACCCTTTAGTACAATATGTAATTACCAAACCGCGGGGTGTTGCCCCCGCACCCCCAACCCACATAATGAAACTCCCCGATTGGACTGATCCTTCCGCTCTACTCCGCTCCAGCATCTGTCTCATTTATAATATATATTTAAGTAATTGTCATACCTAACAGTAATCTTATAATAATACAAAAGAAACATTACCACTTATTTGATTTTGTGGCCTGTCGACCATCTCTTCTTGTTATTATAACTTCTATCAAACACCCATAGTTTGATATTTATATTTATAACACTGCCATTAAAATTTATGCATGAAAATATACAATTTACTTTTAAAAAGTTAATAATAATGATATTTTTGATAATAACATCTGACATTTGAGTGGCATTAATATAAGAAATGTGTGGCGTTCAAGTAAATGCCCCTAAGAAAACATTATCAGCAATCATACAACTTTGAATAGAATTTTTCCAAAATAATGGCTGGCAAATCATTCGAGTCAATGACGGCTCAACAACAACTCACAAGCCTTTAATTTTGATGGCTCGCCGGCTCGCCCGACGGACACAATCCACGACAGACCCTTCCTCAAGACCATAAATCACCAAATCAGAATGCATATCAGATCACACCATGTGAAGCCAGAAAATATGATCATAGAAACTAGAATTTCAGACCTAACAAAAGTGTAAAATGTTAAGAAAATTTTCAAAATTGACTCAATAATAATTATACTAAAAGATATCTATGCAATTCTTATGTATCTAGAGCTCTAAGTCAGCTCTAAGTCTCTGGGGTCGGGGATTCGAACCCGCCTATGTGCGGATAAGACGAGTAGTTAGACACATGAGGTTAGTTTGGGGCTTGTATCATAACCCCTGACCAAGATTTGATATTTATATTTATGATAGGTTGTTGTTACATAATTATAGATGAAAAAAGAGCTTCTATCAGCTTTGCCATTAGCCCATCACCACTTTTAAAATTGTTATTAATTTTGATATTTTTTATGTTAAGTTGATGATTTAAGTGTTGGCATATAAATTTAAAAAAATTAAGTGTTAGATATATATTATATCATGGCATGTATATAAATATTTAAGAAAATGAGTCGACTCGCTACCAGACGTCCAACCAATAAGAAACATTCCTATTTACAAATCTAGCACCCCAGCTCTTTCATCCAGTTTTCAGATTCTCACTCGAATATCAAAATTCATGGTAAAACCCCAACCCATATTTTTCATTTTTATAAAATTCTCGATGATCTAATCATATCACTTATAAATATATGAGTTATGTAGTTCAAAAATATGAGTCAAATTTTGTAAATAGCGATATTTCGGGTGCCGAGGAAGTATTTATTCTTTTTTTTTAAAGGCTGACGCATAAAATTTCTCATTTATGTACATAACACTCAAATTTTTATTATTAAATAAAAAATATCATAATAATTAATTATTCAAAAGTTAAATATACATTTTTATGCAAAAAAGTTTATGACAATAAATTAAGTTTTATTTTTGAAGTCTCTTTTGACATAGTGTCTCGTATTGTCTGTGGGCTCATATAACTCGGGAGTGACAATTTTTCTCCTACTTTGCTTGGTCTTCTTAGATTAGAGCTTCTTATCTCCCATACATTAGGAAATAACGAAAAGAGTATTACATTACTAGTCATAACACGAGTCTGTCCGGGATAACATCCTTAAGAAAAGAATAGCAATATGGATGTGAGACGACACTTAAATAGGTGCATACATGGGTAGGTTCCGCAACAATAGCATTCTCTTAGTTAGATGATTTCGAAGAAGATTATAAGAGCCTGATTTATCACCTCGATAGGTTGGCTCAATGAGGCCACTTCAACAGGCAGGCTTGGACATATGTCACTCAAGAGATAAACATGATCACACGTCAAAATTTCAAAATACAAAAGAGAAATGGAAAAAAAAAAAAGCCATAAAATCAACAGTAAAAGTTGCAATTAATTAATACAAAGGAACATCCCCTATAAATTCAGAAGAATAATAAAAAAAAGCAGTCAACCTTCACCAAAATAAAGCGGACAACTTCTTCTCCTTTCATATATCAACATCCCCAACCCCTCTAATTCAAAACTAAACCACACGAAAGAGCCTTCTTTCCACTCCTTCATCTCCTTCCCAATATAACTATTAAACTTCAATCCACAAACCAGAAACCAGAGAGAGAGAGAGAGAGAGATGAGAGAAGTTGCAGAGAGAGCTCTGCAGTGCCTAGGAAGAGGGTTCGACGTGGCGTCTGATTTCCGGCCAAAGCACTGCAAGGGCAAGCAGAGGCTTGTCCTTCTCAACGAAGATGAGTGCGTTGACCTCGCCCTACCTGTCGCCGGCGGCGGAGTTCTCCGGCGTGTCTCCGTCGATATAAAGTGTGGCAAGGGCGACAGAGTTCGGTATCAGTCCGACGTGCTCGAGTTTAACCGGGTATGATTAACTTGTATGTTAATTATCTTTCTTAATCACTTTGGTTATTTCTTAATTAATCTTCCTTTTGTTCTTTTTATATTGGCTAATTATACCAGATTCTTTGGTTTAGTCTCTCTTAAGCTCAAAGGATACGATTGCCCATCCAATTAATGAACTTATTATTTTTGTTTAAAAGAAAAATCCCGTAAGAAATTTTATTCTAATAAAGAAAAAGTTATCATGATTTGTGACTGAGTTTCACGAAAAAAAAAAACCGTCAATCACTAAGTACAACTTACGCAAAAAAAGTCTAAAAAATATTATCAAATCGAATATAAGAAGTTTCTAAACAATCTTCATGAATAAGAATATAAAGCTCATGAGGTACTCGAAATCCAATTAATGAACTTGTTAGATGCTTTTTTTTTGTCTTAGAATTTATAAAAATGTCAAAATAGATCTCATGACCAGAGTAAATAATGGGATGCCGTCCCCTAAGCCTTTTTCTTAGGTTTATGATTAATATTTAAGCTCAACGTTTTCTTTTTTTAGATTAAAATGAAATATGTAGGCAAGCTTCACTATATTTTACTTTCACTTTATTTAATAAAAATATATGATTAGAAATATGAAATAATAACGTTCCAACCAACTTGACAGACACGGAATGGTCAGATGGATGTTTGGCAATCGAAAACACAAGGAAATTGCAAAACCATCCCATAAGTTCTGCATTATTGCATATTTATCCAGTCCTCCTCCATTTTAAAGTTATTAATGCAAAAGAGATGTGATGTATCGCTGTGGAAAATTTGATTGGAGTATTTACATACAGACCACCAAATTCCTATATATTTACATCTCTAAAAGCTAACTATTTCATTAGACAGCATTAATGTCAAAAAATTAAGATATTAATCTAAGGGTGTTTGGAGCAACTGCAGCTTATTGAATAATCTGCTGATAAGCTGATTTAAAATAATCTGCTAATAAGCTAGGTGTGGTGACTATTACAATTTTTTATTTTTTTGGAAAACTTAGACTGCAACCATAAAACTATTACTGCAATTAGATAGGTGTGGTGTGAAAAAATTATTTTCAACATTTTGAAAACGCATAAGCTGGCAAACGCAGTTTACCCAAACAAGTTATGTGAGTTTTTAAAATGCTACCGCACCAAAAAAAGTTGGCCCAAACGGGCCCTAAATCCTAAACCCATAAGAACAAATAAGAAATTCAATTATTTTTTTTGCAAACTAGCAACTTAATTCAAAGATATTAGTTAAATTTACATACATACCGCAAAATTCTTATATATTTACATATCTAACATTTGAAATTTTACATTTATATTTATAACAATTTGGTTTTATAAATTTTTATACGTAAAGATATATTTGACTTTTAAAAGCTTATTAATAGGAATATTTTTTGTTTTTGCAAATTTGAGTGCTGGTCCTATAAATATAAAATTTTAGTGATATATATGGAAATATATACAAGTTGTGTATTATTTATGTAAATGTTCCAAGATATTCTTCTTATATAGTAGACAAAGCGAAATGTGGAAGATAATGGAGGTCCATTATCTATACGTGAAGCAGAGATTGCCAGCGAAACTGGCAAAAGTCTATTCAACAGACGCAACGCTGACGCTGACTAAACCCTTCCACATTAAAATCCTACCTGCTCGGAACCGTAAGATCCCGAAATAATCCACGTGCATGGATGATATAAATCTGCAAAATTACTGTAAATAATGTCAATTTCTCATAATAAGAGGTGTTTATTGCACAAATATCTACATAAATGAATTTTTTATACTCTAAATCGTTAAGTTTTATACATGAAACTTCATTGATCAGAAGCGATATAGTAAGAGAAAAAAAAAGGGAAATTTACATACATATCACACAAATAAATGAATTTGTTATACTCTAAATCGTTAAGTTTAATATGCTTACATGAAACTTCATTGATCAGAAGCGTTATGGTAAGAAAAAAAAAGGGAAATTTACATACATATCACACAATTCTTATGTATTTACATGTCTCACACCTAAACTTTCATGTTTTCATAGTCAAGAAGTGGATGTTGGCAATCAAATGTTGATTAAATTTTCTTAAATAGTCACTTGGTGGATAGAATCAGATGAGCTAACGGCAGACGATACACTTGCTTCAAATTTTATATGCCACTAATATTTACAAGGGACAGTAACATACATACCAGCACATTCCTACATATTTACATATGAACACCTAAACTCTACATTTTAACATTTCTACCATCCAAATCTCTTATATCACATTAAAAATACCATTATGTTAAATTTTGAAGAGCGAAATACATCTTTTCATGCATAGGTAAGCTGTCATATATGTAAAAATTGAAGTTTGGGTGTAGATATGTAAATCGATATGAATTAACCGACTTCAAGCACAAAGCAATTTCTTGTGGCAATACACTAACATCATCTTTATCTGCAGTCATTTACTTTTGTATGAATATGAAATTTATGAAAATTTGTTGTGGTATAGATGTCAGAATGTTTCAATCAAAAGAGTGCAATTTCTGGGAAAATACCCTCAGGACTCTTCAACGCCATGTTCGGTTTCAATGGTAGCTCCTGGGCCAAAGATGCAATGGAGACCAAAAGCTTAGCAATGGATGGTTACTTCATCGCTCTCTTCGATCTTCACATCGATCGCAGGCCTTTGACGCTCTCCGATCAAGTCATCGACGCCGTCCCTACGAAATGGGACCCAGCTTCCCTAACCAGGTTCTATAATTCATTCATCATGATATACATATATATATAGTTGAAAGTTCATCTTAAGAATGTAATAAAAATGTATATATTTGAATGTATGATGCAGGTTTATTGAGAATTATGGAACTCATATAATAGTGGGATTGAGTGTGGGAGGGCAGGATGTGGTTTATGTGAGGCAGGATCAGTCTTCTGATTTGTCTTCTTCTGAGCTGAAGCAGAATTTGGGCCAGCTTGGAGATCAGCTCTTCACAGGCACCTGTGCTCTCCCTCCTCTTCACTACAGGTCCAAGGACTACAACAAGCCCAAGGTAATTCAATTCACTTAAAACATTTTTTATTTTTGCATTTGAATTAAGATGCAGATAGAAGATTGAAATACTGAAGTTGTAGTGTGGCTCAGTAGTTATTTAATTTTAAAAAGTGAGCAACGGCTAATATTTAGTTGCAGCGTTGATTATAATTGAAAAGTTGAAGGATTTGGGGAAGTGCTCTTTAAATTAACAATCAAAATGGATGTTTTGGGCTTTTGCAGATTTCGGAGGCTTTCAATGTATTTGACCTGCAGCCACTGATGATGGATGGCTTCACCAATGTTTCATGCAAAAATGTGAGTTTTCCCATACTTGTCTGAATCAAAATAAATAAATGAACAATTAAATAGAGTTTTAAATAAATGACTCAGGCAGATCTCACTGAAAGCTATCATAGAGTAACAAAAATGAATCTAAATCATCAGATAAAACAGAATAATCGGGTAAAAACAAAGGTTATGAATGAAAGACAAAAAATTGAAAATGAAAAAAACTGAAATGCAAATGTTAAGTGTATGTTTCAGGGCTTACACCTCCGATTTTGGTCTTCATTTTCTCTGCATGTTTCAGGGCTTAACAGTTGTCTGCTCGAGAAGAGGAGGAGATACTTCAGCAAGCAGCCACTATGAATGGCTTCTCACCGTGCCTTCCATGCCGGACATCATCAACTTCACTTTTGTGCCCATAACCTCACTCATGAAGGGCGTGGCTGGCGCTGGCTTCTTGGCCCATGCCATCAATTTATACCTCCGATGTATGTATAATCCTTCTAAGAATAAAAGCAAGGAATATTGAAACCCAAACATTAAAGAAATTTTAAGATTATAAATGAATCGAGTCAAGTTGAACATATTAGTTCTTTTGTTTTCTCATTATGAAATAGGAAGATTCACATACATACCACTCAATTCCTATTTATTTACATATCTAACAACTGAATTTCATTCTTTACATGTATACCACCTTTTCATATGCATAAAAATGTGTACTTTACATTTTAAAAGTTAAAAATGTGGTATTTTTGATATGATATATGAAAGATTTCGGTGGTGGCATGATGTACAAAGCATAGTGTAAGTGTTAAATATGTAAATGCATAGGAATTGGGTGGCAAGTATGTAAATGCCCCTATGGAATATTAAACTAAAATTTAAGAAATTATTAAAATTGTAAACGAATTGAGTCCAGTGGAACATTACTCTCTTCATGCTAGATCTTTTGTTTTCCCATTAACAAGTAGGAAGTTTTACATACATACCACTCAACTCCTATACTTCAATTTTTACATGTATACCACCTTTCATTTGCATAAAATGTATTTTACTTTTTTTTTTAAGTTGTTCAGGTGATATTTTCTTATGTGATATGAAAGTTTAGGTGATATAGATGTAAAAAACAAAGTTTAGGTGTTAGATATGTAAATCCATAGGAATAAGGTGGTAGTACGTAAATGCCCTAAATGAGTATTAGGGAAATTTATATACATACATACCACACAACTCTTACTTATATATGTCTAACATCTAAACTTTGTTGGTTTCATAACCTATGCATGAAAATATGTATTTCGCTTTTAAAATGTTAGTAATAGTGATATTTTTTATTTTAATCTCAAAGAGTGGAGTGTTTTGTTTGTAAGTATATAAGAATTGTGTGGTATGTATGTAATGCCCCTTGTACTTTTCCCACCGCTGCTCTGTTCATGTATGATTTGTTCAACATTTCGTTTAATTACTGTTCTCATGCAGGTCAATCCTTATTATGATTTTAAAGAAGTAATTGACTCTGATGAAGAGCTGGATTTTGAATCCATGGACCACAGCTCAGTAGCCAGCACTTGAAGCCAGGTTTGCTTATGGTTGATTTTTTCTTTTGTTTTTTTGTTTTTTCAACCATATTTTCTTTTAATATAAAATTCGAAAATTGAAAAAGTTTAAGCCAGGGCCGTAAGGCATTATTTTTGTATGATTAATCTGTTAGCTCATGCTAAATTGGTTTCCATGACCCCCTTTTTTTCTTGTAATCTGAATGGGAGCCACGCATCATTTACATATTGTATCTTATCTTCTTTCTAAGTCATTAATTTTGTGGTTTGAATTATTTGCCCACAGCTCCCATCCCATATTCTTCTTTCTGAATTCTTCGAGCACACACACACACACATATATATATAGAGCCCCGGTCATCCCATTCGCCTAAGAATTCGAGTACCACACCCGACACTCTCGGGG